CATCAAACAGAGAAATGTCACCAATATGACTCCTTTTCCAAATCAAATGGAGGTAAATTATTCATACTAAGTTAATAGGATCAAGGGGGCAGGGCTGGTTCAGTCTGTAGTTTAATCGCAGTTTAAGGCATGGAAACGGGAAACGGATATTTTCCACAGTTTTTTCCATTATTAATTGAAACACAAAATCAAAAACTGAAAAAAACAATTCATTACCTCTGCCAAGGAGGTTATGTTTTTGCCGGCGTTTGTTTGTTTGTTTGTTTGTCTGTTAGCAACATAACTCAAAAAGTTATGGACCGATTTTGATGAAATTTTCAGGATTTGTTGGAAATGTGAAAAGGAAGAACTGATTTCATTTTGGGGGTGATCCGGAAGAAATCCTGGATTCTGGATCACTTTGAAATTTTTGTTAACATTGTGGTAAATGGGGTCAAAAATTTTGTTTCTCAATATCTCGGTTAATTATTGAGTGCGTATACATGCACATCAATAACCCGGTTATGATCGGGTTTTTTGAGTATCCCGGTTTCTTGATGGTGCATGTAAACGCAGTAACCCGGTTTCAGTAACCCGGTTATGGCAGTATCCCGGTTATTAGAAACCGGGTTACTGTAGCTGGTTTATTCCGATAGTAACCGGGTTACTTGTGTCATGTAAACGCAGTATCCCGGTTACTGCAACATAAAGTTGAGTCGCATGCGTCCAAAAGACACTTTCCAGCCTCTCAACACAACAGTAGTCACATAAATAAATTGACCAACATAAATAAAGTGACCAAATGAGTTAAATGACTGTAAAATAAAGAGCTGCGCTAAACCTGCACATGTACAATCTGCACTCGTACGACCTGCACTCGTGTGACGCTGAAAAGCTAAAACATGAACTATCTCCTATACTCTATACGCACGGAACACACTTACCATCATCAGCACCTCTTCTGTCACAGAAATAACACACATAATCCACAGAGTCGTGTCATTTAGTCCAAAAGAAACTGATCGCATCAGCGGCGCAAGGAGCGAGTTGTTTTTATCGCCGCTAACAGTTTATGCTAATTAGCCAAACGGTCTTAAGTTTCGTTTCTGTAAAACATAAACAAATGTGATCAGAGCTGAATTATCTGATCAAACGGGCTGATGTGTCTATAGTGTTTATGGTTTATATGTTGTAAAGTTGAGTTTATTTATGCAGAAGATTTTAATGAAGAATCTGCACAGTGGATTGTGGGAGATCTCGTAGCTCCTTAGCTTCTTATGCTAAAGGAGCTCACGGTTTGTATTTTTCCTGGTTTATGAAATTGACTTAAGTTAATTTTTGCGCCTGCGCATTTGTAAGATTATGTCAAGAAACCGGGATACTCCATTTGATCATGTATACGCGGATATGAGTGTCCCGGTTTCTCAGTGCGCATGTAAACGCAGTAACACGAATACTGACAGAACCGGGATATGGCTAATAACCGGGTTATTGATGTGCATGTATACGCACTCACTGACCAAACCCCATGAAATTTGACTCAGGGATGGACAATGGGATCCTCTTTCATATTCCAAAGGCTGATCCGGATCTGATCCAGAAGACTGATTTTATCGCAATTTATATAAAAAATGGGGGTAGTCCTTGGCGGAGGTCTGCGCTCTCTGAGTGCTTTTCTAGTAATCCATTTTTTCATTTTGGTTTTGGAGACAAATAATGAACAAAATAGTTTGTTTTTTTTCGTTTTCTTGTTTTTGGTTTTATTTTGAAAAACGAATGAACGAAGGATACATGGATTGTCAGAGCCCAACCAATTTTGTTCTTCTTCTTATGAAGTATGAACAGGCCTTAATTATAAAGGGTGTGAAAGAAACAAAACACAACTCTAGGTCTGTTTTTGCTGAAGTAACAACATTATAACGTGTCTTAAATCTCACAAGAGTCGATTTTGAGTAATATAGAACCTTTAAATGCGCTGTAATTACCCAGACTGCTGACTCAGCTAAATCTCTGCGCTTTTCTGGATTAAACCAAAGCCAAACCCTCTGGAGTCCTCTGCGATTCATCTGAAACATGAGCTCACTCTTCACCACAGACAATAGCGCACGTGCCAACGGCTGGATCTGTTCTGACTCTGAGCTTTTGTGAATTTGGGCGAAAATTGGCAAAAATGTGTCAGCACTATTTTACCTTGGATCAGAGTTCAAACAGACTAAACTCCCCCGAGGATTTAATGAGATGAAAACACACGGTTGTAATACAAAATCAAACACTGGCAAACACCTTGTAATATTTCATCTTTTAATTGATACTTTGAGGCCGTCGTCTACGTTCTCTGAAGACGGTTAGAGCTTTATTTTAACGATCACTGCATTTATACTTCCAAATGTTTCAAGGTTCCATTCTCCACAACCACAAAAGTCAGTCAGAGAGTTTAACCAAAATGGACGAAATAAAGCAACACATAAGCAAACATGGCGCTCACGGCAGGTTTTAGATCAGATCTGTTGGAAAAAAGCCAAGAAAAGGAGGTGAGAGACGCATTTATTTGTCCTGCAGCTGGTTTTAGTGATGGATTTATTAAAATAACTGGATAAGGTGTTGCTGCTCGTAGATGCCTCCAGTTGACGTAGTGACACTCACTGGTACTTCAGCGTTAAAAAACCCTTGGGCTGAGACAGGATTTTTCACATAGAGCGTAATGTAATCACAAACTGCTCGCGTTCGACTGACGGGGACCTACAACTTTAAAAAATGTCGGATTTTGTGGTGATTTTACCTATTTTTAGATCATAAACTTTTTCTCAGCTCAAAATCCTTCAGTTGTCTTAAAAAAACGCTATATCCAAGTCTCAAAATACGATATCGTCACGGTATGAACCTCAAGGTACAATATTTATTGTGATATTTTGTGGAGGTTTTGATGCTTGTTTTTAATGAACTCAATGGTCTTGCACCTTCCTACTTGTGTCAGATTTGGACCCCTCACCAACCCAGCAGAGCTCTACGATCTGCTGGGCAACATCTGCTGGAGGTTCCCCCGGTCCCGGTGCAAACAGTGATCGTTCTTTTGCAGTGGTCGCCCGGTCCAAAACTCCGGAACTCTTTGCCCATTGAGTTACGGTCCATCCCTGACCTGCCTTTGTTCAAAACCAAACATAAAACCTACTTATTTAGAACGGCTTTTAACACTTAGAGGACCTGTGACACTTTCTTTATTTTAATGGTGTAATGTGCTTTGTTGACCGGTTTGTATGATGTTTATTGTTTTTTATCTTGTTTTAATGTTGTACAGCACTTTGGTCGGCTTTGGTTGTTGGAAGGTACAATAGAAATAAAGTTTGATTGATTGATTGAAGTTAATATGCGTCTTTTTCCTCCTAAAATACCTCGACAAGACTTAAGCACTTTTAAGGCTTAGTTCTTTGGGTTAAAACTGTTATTTCTTCTTGTCGTCTGCACTGAAATGGAGCAAAGGATCATGGTCAATGTAGTTCCTTCTGTCTTTTTTTTAGCTATTGCTGCACCATAACTCTTCATTTAAGCGAAGAGACTTGTAATTCGATATATAGAGGCTTTGCACAGTCACGTGACCCCGATAGCAACGGTACCTACGCCGCCATGACACCAGGCACACTATGTCATTGACTTCAGCAGCATCGGAGAAACATGGGCAGGTTTTGTTGTGTATTTGGTTGTTCTAGACGCTCTGAAAGGGATAAAATGATTTGTTTCTTCACTGTTCCTCTGGAAATTACTCATCAGGATCAAACAAGATAATTATCGAAAAAAAGACACGGATTATGGCTAGAGAACATAAACCGCGAAGAGATTTCCAATGGTACCATCAAGACACCCGAAGTTTCATCAAGGTATTTGCTATTTAAATTGTTTCATAGTTTATTTAATGAAAGAAGCACATTTACTGAACTAAAATTTCATTAATTTATCCAGGAAAACCCGCACTAGTTTACGATTCAACGAACCCACACTGGGCTCCTATGATCAACATGGAGCACGAGTCGAAGAGTCTGTGAGCCGAACCTCGAAAGAATCGGCCATGAAAAGATCCTCGCGAACGTTACAAAGATCCGCTCGCAAAAAGTGATTAATTCTAGAAGACATAGTTGTGGATAAACAAGACAATAAAGAAAACATCGGCCCTACGACGAGTGACATGTTTATATGTGTTGGAAGATACAGTTTCTACTGCCACTCACACTGCAAATGTTTTCTTTTTACATTTTAGTTCAGTAAATGTGCTTCTCTCATTAAATAAACTATGAAACAATTTAAATAGTAAATACCTTGATGAAAGTGACGTGAGTGTGTCTTGATGGTACCACAGGAAATCTCTTCGCGGTTTATGTTCTCTAGACATAATTCCTTTTTTTTTTTTTTCGATAATTCCCTTGTTTTAGCTCCTGTTGAGTCATTTCCAGATGAACAGTGAAGAAACGATTCATTTTATCCCTTTCAGAGCGTCTAGAACAACAAAATACACAACAAAACCTGCCCATGTTTCTCCGACGCTGCTGAAGTCAATGACATAGTGTTGCCCGGTGTCATGGCGGCGTAGGTACCGTTGCCATGGGCGACACGTGACGGTGCAAAGCCTCTATTGTGATGGTCCACGATATTATTGTGAGAACTTTGACGATACGATATCACAATATTTCAGTTATTGTTACATCCCTAAAAAACACTTAACGCTCCTCTTGCTCTGATTGGTCAAAGCGATCGCGTTATGATACACATCGTTTGCAGGGGCCGATCATTGCCACTTGCGGCTATATTTTATTTATAGCTATTCTGTGGTTTTGCTCTTGTTTTATTCCACTGGTTTTATTGTTTTAGGACTATTAGGATTAAATCTGAGTGTTTATTTTATCATTATATTATTATTGTTGTTATGATTATGTATTTGTGCAGCACTTTGGAAACTTTGTGAAATGTGCCATAGAAATAAATACAGTTTCTGGTCTAGAACATAGAGCATAAATGATCTTAAACTCCCTCACCTGTTTGCCTTCCAGCGTGTAGAGCCTCTTCACCGCCCCAGAGTCCAGTTTGATGGCGTCCGTGATGTCGCTGAGGACCTGCTCGAACGAGTGCGCGGTCTTCTTGTTGAGCAGAACTCTCACGGCTTTACGAGGTTTGACTCCGCTGCGGATCACCGTCACCAGTTTGGGTTTGATGAAGTCTTTGGCCTCGCGCTGGTGCTCGCTCTTCAGGCCGGTGAGGGACGGGAGAGACCGGGACGTGCTCGTTTTGCAGCCCACGGACCAGTTCGGGTTCACGTTCTTGGTGTAGTCCACTCTGCGGAAGGGTTCATTCGAGGCGCAGACGTAACTCTCACCTGCAAAATAAAACAGAGTGGGTAAGTTAAAGCGGATCTATTCTGCAAAATCGACTTTTCAGAGCTTTTAACAATGTTATACCGTATTTTTAGGACTATAAAGTGCACCGGATTATAAGGCGCAATATCAGTAAGGTTGAATTCTCTCGTCTATTTTCATACACAAATTGCACTGGATTAGAAGGCACATTAAACGAAACAAATCGGACGACACTGAAGACTGATCCCTTAGTCCAGGCGTCCATGATCCATTGGCAAATCATGGCGTAATTCGCCCGACATTGCCTCTCTGTGTATTATGAATGTGACTGTGGATAATTTAAGTTTTTATTTTTTATTTCCTACGAGGACGACTCAAATATACATTGAGTAATAATGTGTTTAATGCAGCTTTGAGCACATTTGTTTACGTTTTACAGAAATGAAACTTTAAACCACATGACAAAGTTGCATAAACTAAAACTGCTGAAAAACAAAACAAAAAACAGCTCACTCTGACTCCATGAGGCTCCTGACTACAGTAGCTGTAATGCTCCAACAATCCATCAAGCGGTGCAGCTGTAGTGTAGCTGTAGTGTTGTAGTTTACCAAAGTCATAATAAAATATTCTGACAGATTTTTGAGCGTCGTGCACCACATAAAATCGGTTCAAGGTCAGTAAACACAACCACAATTAATACTTAAGGCGCACGGTCGTTTTTTGAGAAAATTAAAGGATTTTATAGTCTGAAAAATATGGTAGTTGTTTCCTCTCACCATTTACTCAGAGTTGTATTTGGAGTGATTAGTTCATGTTTGCGCAATCTTTAAATTGACCCTATTTTGCCGATCAACCCGTTTTCACCGCCACCAATACACGCCCACTGTTCTGTATTTACTCTGTTCTCAATTTTAAATTTTCTTATCCGATGATGCATGTAGGATTTGGCAGCGGCACATAGTCATTTTGGTAAAAATGAAAAAATAAATAAATAAATCAGCATGATATGCATCTATCCATCCGATTTTTACACCGGCATCAGCTCCCATCGGACACTAAAGTTTTCTAACGCAGAAGTTAGAGAAATTGTTTCTTGTATTAAGTTGTTTTAGATCGTGACATAAAGATCCGTGGTGTTTCACAGTTTATAACTATACAGGCGATTCAAGCACAGTACGGCTCAAGTCTATTTAGAGTTTTTTTTTTCTCAAACGGAAAAGCTGTTCCACCTTGTGATTAAATATATGAAGTGGTCCTCTATGTTTTTAAACTCCATACACGCTCACTAGAATCATTTGGATAATAGACGCATCAAGAATCTCGGACTTCTGGTCATTGCGCAATACATACTGGGAAGGATTTTCTGAAAAAGTGAGCATCAAAGCGCCATGTTTGTTTTCCCAGTGGGATGTGTCTATTGTCAAAGTCGATCTTTTCAAGTCTTTTGAACCATATCGCTTTTGTTTCTGGTTCTGATATTGTCATATTTTAGTTTTTGGATTCAGACATTGTTAATTGTTGTGGTTGTTGGATCCTAACAGCGGAAAACGACTCAAGAAATATGTTTGCGAACTCCATAAATGCAAAAGTGAATCAGATGTGTGTGACTGCAAACCTCTGTTCAAACTATTTCACTTCCTAACAGAATAGAAAAATAGTGAAAGGTGAAGGTGATGGGCAGGATTGATCCACAGGAAAGATGAAAAAGGAAACATTTGACTGCCTAAATCATCGCAAGTTTGCAGCGAACATTTTGTATGCGGAGCGGCATCAAAGTGGGATCCCGTTTGTTAATGCAGAAGACAAACAGACTGAGCTGCACTTTCTTGTTCTTGTGGTTTTACAGCAACATCACGTCTTGGTCTCTTTGCAGTGGAAGGTGTTTCTTGGTGAACAGTTGGTGCCTTTCAGTTTGGCATTGACATTTTAAATTCGTAACCGAGGTTGAGTGAGGAATCCGGATTTTGCTCCACATACAAAATGTTCGCTGCAAACTCGGGATGATTTAGACAGTCAAAGTTTCCTTTTTGGTTCTTCCTGTGGATCAATTCCTGCCCATCACCTTCACCTTTCACTATTTTTCAATTCCATTGGGAAGAGAAACACTTTGAACAGAGGTTTGCTGTCACACATCTGATTCACTTTTGCATTTATGGAGTTCGCAAACAAATTTCTCGAGCCGTTTTCCGCTGTTAGGATCCAACAACCACACAATTAACGATGTCCGAATCCCAAAACTAAAATATGACAATATCAGAACCAGAAACAAAAGTGATATGGTTCAAAAGACTTGAAAAGATCGACTTTGTCAATAGACGCATCCCACTGGGAAAACAAACATGGAGGTTTGATGCTCACTTTTTGGGAAAATCCTTCCCAGTATGAATTGCGCGATGACCAGAAGTCTGAAATTCTTGATGCGTGTATTACAGTCCTTGAATTGCCAATCTCTACTAAAGGTAACTTGAAATCTACCGCTTCATGACATCGCAAGGAGGAACAGAGCATTTTGAGCTTTGGATACTTCAAATAAAGTGTTACTCAAACATGTGAATGAATCAAAACACAAGTCCAGGTCTGTTTTTGAGGAAGTAACGACATTATCACACGTCTTAAAGCTCAAAAGAGTCGAATGTGCGTAATCTAGGACCTGCAAACACGTCTTTAGAGTCACTGTACGGCGTCGCCGACAGTGCCCACGAAGGAGTTAACATTCTGCAGGGAAACAAACGGCACATTAAGAGGCTGGGCAGTGTCCTTCTGCATTTCCCCCATTCTCCTCCTGCTCTGGCCTCGCTCCAACCATCTGATCTGCCACATTCCAACAGGGAACAGCTCACACCGACAAATGTGAGAAATGCCTGACGCTCGGGAAGTCTAAGCCCGAGGAGAGTGAGTGGGGTTTGGTCCAAAAGGTGGAGTGAATGCGAGTGTGCGAGTGTGTGTGTGTGTGTGTGTGGAATGTCCAGGCTGTGCTGTGGTTATGAATGAGAAAGTGCCATGACATTCCTGGCGTGCTGCGTTTGTCGCTAACACGCTTTAACAATCTGGAAAGGTTAAATATACACCGCGGGTCAAAAGTTTGGACGCACCCTCCCATTCAGCGTTTTTTAAACTTTTCTACTTTTTAGATTGACACAGAAGACATCAAATATAATGTATATGGAATTATGAACAGAGATAGACCAATATTTGTCTTTTTTGAAGTATGAGCTATCGGCCATAAAGCTCCTGCAGCGTCCGATATCTTGTTTGGCTCAACCAGGGTTAGGAAAATATCTGCATAAATCTTTGTTTGAAGACTTCAGTTCAAAGAGGTGCTGCAAAAATGTGACAACACTGGACTGGACCGCCTAGTGCCTCAATTTCAATTTCATTTCTCTCGTTCTCTAACTAGACCAGGAATCAAAATACACTAGATGGTTCGCAAAAACCCCGGAAGTGCAAGTTCGGGCACCAGCCAATCAGCGAAGAACCATATATTATGTGTTGTCAACGATTCCCGAGATCGAGGATTTAAAGCTGGAACAAAGAGAATGTTTGGTGAATTTTATCGAAAGACGTTATTGTCCTTCTTCCTACGAGATTTGAGAAAAGCTTAATATACCAGTTAGCCCCGTTAGTGGCGCATTACAAACGTGACTACCAAATAATCAATCAATCAATCAATCTGATTGACTGATTGACTACCAAATAGCAGCGATTGGTTAAATGACAAAAGTGCCCGCCTACTGTTGAGCAAACAATCAGGCTACTGGACTGAACGGTTTGTAATAAAAGAAGGTTGTGGATGAGTTTGTACTACATTTTATTTTGATAATTTGGGAAAAATGACCTAAATCAGCCAAAAAATATCAGCAGAGGTCATCAGCCATCGGTTCTCTGGAGTATGAACTATCGGTCTCTAGCCAGGCTGGCGCCACCTAGTGTGTCCGCTCAGTTTTACTTCTCTCCAGTGACTAGGTCAGGAATCAGAATACACTAAACCAAGAGCTGTCAAACCCAAATTCACAGAGGCCAAAATGAAAAACTGGGACCAAACATGGGCGAAACTAAATCTTTATTGAAAAATTTCAACAACATCTGCATGTTTTCTCTTCTTTCGAGATATGTAATGTTAAACCTTTTCTTATTCAAATAAATGTTTAATAATAGTTTTGCTTAAACACTGAATCCAGAACAAGCAGAATATAAAATAATAACAACATTTTAAATAAATAATGTGTCTATAGTCGATATATCGCTGGCGAGCAGCTCTAATACATGTTTGATATGATCTCGCAGCGAAATATAATTATATTGTGGGCCAAATTTGGTCCCCAGACCTGAGTTTGACACATTTGCACTAGACGGTTTGCAAGAATCCCAAAAGTTAAAGTCAGTGAAGAGCTGTGAAGCCATGACGTCAAACTCGTCGCGTCTGTCTGTGTCCCTTTTGTGGAACAGCACAACAGTAAACAAAGCGTCGACATGGATGCAGACGAAGACAGACATTCTGTGTTGACAACGTTTCCCGAGATCGAGGATTTAAAGCTGGAGCAAAGAGAATGTTTGGTGAATTTGATCAAGGGGAAAGACGTTATTGTCCTTCTTCCTACGGGATTTGGCACGTTACATACGTCACGACCAAACAAACGATTAGTTAAATTTAAAAAAGTACCCGCCTACTGTCGAGCGAACGAATCCTAATGCTGCGATGTTAGACGGTTTCCACGATGAATCAGGCTTATCTTGCACAATCCCTACTAAGAAAAATCATAAACTACCAAATGACTTGACATCTTCATGACATAAACAGTAGACATGACTGGTTTATTAGCCATTCGACCAAACATCCTCATCTGCTGACCACATGAGCCCCAGTCCCCCTCGCTCCCCCTTCACTCCCGCGGGACGGTGAGTGTCTTCGGGCTTTCCTCTGCGAGACATGATGGACAGCTCCTCTCAAACCCCTGGCTCGGCCCCATCTGCGCTATAGCTTTTTAATTAGCTCCTCGTTCATTTCAAGCTTAATAAAACC